GTCTTCTTTGCACGCGACTCGCAGAATGTGCTGGTGAGAAAAAGGGCAATGCAGCCTGGATACCAGAGAGGAATCAGGATGCACAAAACCCTGCTCCACGTTCCTCAGAGTTCCCCCAAGGACAATGCAGGGTTGTTAAACAGGATTTTCATAGTTACCATGGTGTAATAACTGAGCCCTTGGGGGTAATGTGTGACTGAATTGATATCTCTATTGTACATATTCTATTTGTGTCCAGTGAATGTTGGCCCTGAAATACAGAATCATCTCTGAATAGTGACTACCATTTAATTGAGTTTGGGCTCAGCAGAAGTAAATTCCTCCCAAATTCTGATCAGGGTTTGCCCTGCTAAACAAATGATGATTTTTCTTTTAAAAGGGACATTAAAATGCACTCTCATTTGCTAGTACATATCCTGTCCATCTCCTAGCCAACTGTAGTGGTATGTGGGAATGACCTTGGGAGACAGGAGGAATAGCCGCAGGCTAGACAACTGTCATGCCAAAGGTATCTGAGCCCACAGAAGGCAAAGGGATGTGGGAAGTGTCTCAGAAGGGTCCTCCCTAGTTTTCTGGAGAGTAAAAGGAAAGAAAGGGAGAACTATTTTCAGTCTTGCAAGATTCTGTTAATGTAATCTTACAGTAAAGATAGAGTTAATACTGATAGTTGTGCTTCTTGTCTGGACTACCTCAAAGAGCTAATATCAAGAGATGAAGATGCGGCAACTTTCCCCCTCAAAAAAGCTAGATAAATCATTCTCTGGAGTGAGACAGATGGGGTTAGCCAGTGGAGATGCAGAACCACCTCTCCTGAAAAAAAAAATGGGAGGGGACAAGAATATGGCTGCCCTTAATCTGGTGCCCATCTGATTTGTTGGATTCGTTGGTAGAACAGCCAACAGCCATGCCAGCTCTATATTCTGGGACTGACAGTTCATCACATTGGGATCATCTTTTTAAAAAGTCCTTGTAAAATAAAGTGGGATCCCCTCTCCTCACAAACCCATAAACAGATGTATTTGTCAGATGTATTTAGGGACATTGTCAGATGTATTTAGGGATTTCGATTTATTTATTTTTTCTTATACTCCTAGTTTCACAGTCAGTTCTAGGTGAATGGTACTTCAGCTATTATGCATGTGTCAAATGTACATTTGAGTGCGTAAGGATTTAACTAAATTTGAGTTACACACATATGCAAGAAGAATCACAGATCTTAAACTTGAACTTGACTGTACTGTGGTTTATGCCAATATCCAGAGTATTGGGAAAGTAAGATCAGATTATCTGCTATCACTAGACACCCTTGGCTGACTAAGAAGACTGACCTGGATACAACTGGCTCAAAATCCACATTTACCAAACAGGAATTCTTTGAGACTTTGTTTGTTCAACTGAGTCCTATAGTGAAACTCTGAATCCCCAGCAGGCTGGAGATCACAAAGAAGCATCCTCAAGCAGCTATCAAGGTTCACCCCTGCTGCCATCATCACAGCTGGATCCCCTTCTCTGATACTCCTCTGATAAAAACTAGATGATTATAATTATCTATATAAATTGGGAGTTAAACTATGATTGTGCCTTGTCCTTGATGTAGTCCCCTTCTCAGTAAATCCTGTCCAAAGTTCCTTGCAACTAGTGAAAATAACTAAGATTGGATTGTATGCCAAGGGCTTCCTCAAACCAGCAGCCAGGAGCAAACACAATGCAGATTTTTAGATCATACATCAGCCTTCTCCAACCTGGTAGCCTTCAGGTTGTAGAGACAGCAAGTCCCAGAATCCCAGTTGTACTTCTGCTAGGCTGGCTACAACTTCAATATCTCTGGACAACATCAAGCTAGAGAAAGCTTCCAGATGTTGGAGAGCTGGAATAATGCAGCTGGCTAAGCCGCTATTAGACCACATATACCAGAATGGTTACAAGTTTGAATGGAGACTTCTTCACACCCACACCCACACATCAGTCCACCTGGCTGTAAGCAAGTCTCATTGGACTTAATCTTCTCCTCTAAAGCAATGTTGCACAACTTTGGGAGGCTAAGGGCCATAATTGGCTGTTTAAAGGCAAGCCAGGCATTTTAAAAAGTGATGAAACATTTAATTTATATGAAACCAAAATTTTGCTTAAATTAAAACAATTTTACAGCTAATACGATTACTGTATCTCCATGCATTTTACAATTTTCCTCTTCTGCCACATGAAACACAATTTGGAGGGGACTCAGAAGGCCATCTCTGAGGATTTGGGAGGAATCTTTGCAACCATGATGTTGTGCCCCTACACACATGGGCACTGCTTTGAACTCTACAGCTTAAATTAAAGAAAGGCAAAGTGCTGCTGCTGCTGCTGCTGACCATCATGAGGATTGAACAAGAACCTAGCATCCCCCTAAAAAAGTGCAGTGGCTGCTTCTACAAGCATGGTGAGCTTTTGCTGCTGACTTCCTAACCTGAAAAATGTGGCCATTGTGGTTTATTTCTAGAACCCTTTAGTCCATTTCAGGAAATTCCAGTTAATTATATACAAGAGGGTGTGTGTGTGGGAGTAGGGGCAGAAGTCTAAGAGACTTGAGGCATTCTTTATGAATAGGAAGGTGGAGAGAGAGAGCCTCCAAGCCCTTTATGTGTCAAGGAAATTTAACCCTCTTGGCTGAAGGCCAGGAACTTTTCATATGGGTTGGAAACCTCAGCCAGGAGATTCTCGGGTGCTAGAAAGAGCCTTTAATTTAAACCAGGTGCCTCTGGAAGAAAAAAAACACTTCATGAAAGGCAAAAACTTGGTCGCGTTCCCTCAAAACAAAAGGGCAATCACGCACATTTTGACTGAAATATCCCCTTTTTGGAATGCAGCCTTCATGCTTTAAACAAACTTGCTGAAACCTCATCCATTTGGACAATCGGCATGAAACTGAGACTACCCATATTTCTGGAGCCAGAGCAAATGCTTGAGGAGGATGCCAGCTAAGTCCGCCCAAAGTTGCAGAGGCCTTACAGTATGGAAAGCAGCACACAGGCTGGCAGGGAACAAAGGAAAGTGGGGTTTGTGGCTGCCAGCCTCCACAGTGGCCTTCCTTGGTTGCTGCCGTCTGCAAACGTTAACACTGTGAGTGCCACGGGAAGCCAGGAGGCCCACAGAAGATGGCAAGGAGCACCGTTTCCAGGGCCTGTCTGCTGCTTGCAAGGGGCACGGTGGGGGCAGGGAGGAGTTCGGGGAACCTGTTGCTGCTTCCATACCTTTGCCTACAATCCATATTCACTTGCTCCTCTAGACTGGGGGTGGGATAATGGAGAATGGTTGCCGACAGACGACACTCCCTACATACAAATTCCTGGAGATCTTGGAATACACGAGGCAGTCTCTGTGGATATAAAAAGGGGAATGGCACTGTCCTGAAATGTAATGGGGCTGACCCCATGTGATTTCCTGCAGAAAATTCAAGGTTAATGCTCGGCCATTAGAAACATTACATAGAAAGATGAATAGTCTCCTCTGACTGGCAACAGATTTGGGGGGTCTCTGGCAAAACCTCCCCCATCAATTGCTACTTGGAATCACATCTGGAATCCAACACATCAAGTCCTCAATCACCAAATAATGTCCTCTCCCAAGTAAACATCATGGAGCACAAGTCATTGGAAAATCCTCTACAGCAACCAAAAGGAGCAGTAGCAAATGAATTGCAACAGATTGCATGAATGAGAGAGACCTTTTACAAATTCTGGCCCAGGATGACCTGCCCACCCTCTGTGCCAGGAATGAAAAAAATAAGGTCCAGCAGGACTCCTTCTGTGCCTCCCCCCTGCCCTGCTCTGAGCAGAAAAGCCAAATATCTAGTCTGTTTTCTGCATTTGGGGGCTTTGGGACATTTGAAGAAGTAAAATACGAGCTTTAAGCCTTATTGCTCCTTAAAGAATTCCCTTCACTCCGGAAACCCTTCTCTGAATGGGTCCGGTCCACCCACTTTTGGAAGGCAGTTCTAAACATGGCATGGAAAGACTGGTGCAGCCCCTAAGCTAACAAACATGGACCCCCCACCCAATCCTTCTGCTCTCAAACATGTGGGGCCTGAACTGGACATCCAAACCTTCTGACCCTCTTTGTCTCCTAATACGCCTGCCTCTGCAGTCTGCAAAGTTTATTTTTCCATGGGTATGTGGATCATTACAGAAGGAACAGAACATTTACATAAAAGCAGTACCTTTTCATTAATACTCTTTGCAGGTGTGAAAATGCTTCTGGAGAAGGATATGAGTATAGCATAGAAGGAAGCTGACCTGGTACAGAGTTAGAATTCTCCTCATTTCCCAGTGAACCCTAACAACAACCTCATCTTCCGTCTTCCACCTCCACATGTCCATATCAGTATCTCCTGAACCTTTTGCGTCAAAAGGAAGGAGAAGAGGAGCACTCCAAGGCCACTTGTGCAGGAGCCCCTGAAAATTCCAACTTCGCACACAAGAAACATAGCATAGCACCTCTTGGCTGGGATTTATAAAACACTCCATAAATCTCCAATGAGATTATTTATAGTGCCTTTAATGTCTTTCAGTAGCTGAAAGAAAGTACTCCAAATGCAGTGGAAGTGCTCACTGACATCTATCGTGTAATTCTGAATAGGGGCAAAACAAATGATAGACCTCTGCCACATTTTTGCCCTTTGAATGGCATAATCTTCCTTGGCATGTATGAGGACTGCAGTGCTGAGAACTTTCAGCCAATACTGCCGCTGGTTGCACTCTGGGAATTGCAATTCTCAACACATCTGGAGGGGACCTGGCAGAGAGAGGTTACCAGGGTATAGCTTGAAACATTAACAAGTAGAACTAAGCAACTGAAACTCTAGACAGCTTTTGCTAGGCACAATATTAAGCTAAAACATTCTACATTTATCCTGTTTAGTTCCATTTAATAACTAAGAAATATGAACACAATCATCTATTTCTCAGCTGTTCTTAGCAGAAAGTTGCTTTTTGTTTGAGAATTAATTTCTGACTTACCCAGCTAGAACTATAAAAAAGTCCAGACGATTCCATGTGTCTCCCAGGTAGCACTTCTTCCCAAAAATCCCCAAGGCAATCATTTTGATTATCATTTCCACCGCAAAGAAGGCAAAGATAAAATCATCAAAACTCTGGAAGATAAAGAAGCAGGATATGTGACAAAAATCTGAGACTTCAGTTGGTGGCAGTTCATTTTCTGAGAGATCTGACCCAACCTGTTCTAAGGCCATCCTCCATCTCACTCATTTTTGCTCCTGAAGATAACACTGCCCACATTTCTGAAGTGTAAAAGAATGAAGAGCAAGGAAATTATTTCATTCCCAGAACAGAAATGGGACGAAAGTGCACAGCTATATTAAAAGGTGCCTGGACATGTCCTCCCCTCCAGGGCCAAAAGGGAATGAAGAATGCCATTTCAAGCTGGCTATGAGTCTCCAATCACAGCCAGATTTATTTAGGTAAGAAGCGAAGATCTGAACAAACTAGACTATATTATCCTCATCTGACAGATTGTTTGCCCCACTTTGTATAAAAAAAACTCCCCTATTTTTTTAACAATGGGAACTGGTGGTTTTACTTCCTCTTTAAAATCCAAATTTCAGTTCTCAGTGGATCCCCCACCCCAAATAATGTTTGGATTTGAGGTGGATTCCCCCATCCCAAATAAATGATTGGCTCTGAGAATTCTAATTCCTGCTAGTTTCCACAGTAAATTTAGCATTTACTGCTTTGTCTGGATACATATCATGAAAACTATGCATATGGATAGCTCAAGAAATGATAAGTAAGAAACTCATCTTGGTTCATTTACTCATATGGCAAACAGACCAGAGAGAATTGCCTCTAACAGGAACTTGCCTACATCCATGGATTGTAGGACATGGGATATAAGGTCCTAAACCAGGTCAAAAGATTTGCCATCAGAGCCATTCTCACTCAGATTTGCAACTGCTAGTGTCTCAGTCCTTGATATCATGTCCTATTTGCTCCTTTTTAGAAAGAAAGAAAGAAAGAAAGAAAGAAAGAAAGAAAGAAAGAAAGAAAGAAAGAAAGAAAGAAAGAAA